GATAGAATCGAGAAAAAAGGCGCTCGCTCCAGCAGTCCCGGCAGGGCAACGGCGCACCATCCAAACCGTTCGGCGTGGTAAGTAAACCTTCGCGTGATTAAACAAAGCTCGGGACAGCTTGTTTTAACTCCTCTGCCATCCGTGCCGAACACTAAGTGTAGATATAATCACAAAATAACTTTAACTGTAGGTTCAGAATGAGTCAATGGCACTGAGATACGAAATGATTAGCTGGGAATTCAGATGAAACTATTACTTAAAAAAAAAAACTAATCCTGGTTGTATCTCTTTTTCATTTGCATGTAACACTATTTGATATTACTAACCGAGGTGAGAAAACCTGAAGAAGAAGAAGATGACTATACCGGATGAGTGGTACCGTGAGCCCCTTCTCGGAACGAGTGTATTGTTGATGGACCTGGTCTTCGATTCAAGATTGGATTCTGTGATGAGGAGTATCACATAAAAGGTAAAAAAGGTAGCATCATCTTCACCGAAATGTAAGTATTATTGGCAATAATCATAACAATCGGCTCGCATAAGTGATGATTCATTATATATATAACATTTACATAACATAAACATTTAAATACATATACAAAAGGAAAGGGATGGTCCAGGGCACTCGATTGTAACGATTTTGACGGGGAGAGTGGGAATGCCAACTCCCTGTTGATAACATTTCGTGGATAAAGGGCGGGCTCTTCTCCCCACTCATTGGGGTATCTTCCGGTTTGGGGGCTCGGATTTTCGACCAATTGTGCGATCATGTTGCTGGAAGGAGATTCTTCTTTATTGTCCCGTAGATACGTATAGGCGATTTGCCTATCGATCCACCCAATCCACTTTTGGCCCTTCATACAGTGACATGTTGAGGATAATCAGAGGTTATTATGCTTGAAGCTTGATCAAGAGAAACAGAGAAGAGATCCCACTGCTATTGGAATTAGTTTCCAACATGTCACGTTTTTTTATTATTTTTTTATTTTTTATTTTGTCAACCAACGTATACTAGTACAAATACATTTTTGAGAAGTTTGATAATGGCATTCGGTTTAATGACCCATCACCGCATATTGGCTCCACAGCACAACCAGCAGCTAATCTCCAACCTCTCCCAAAACACGGCTGCGGTGCAGGCAAAGCGTACCGTTCAAACTTCGGACAGAGTTGTCAACCAGAGGTGCGGAGGCGAACCAGCCTCAGGCTGAAAGCCCCCATAATAAAGAAAACTTAACTTAACTTGTCAACCAGAAAGGCCGTCGGAAAACGTAAGCTATGTCATGTGTGAGGAGTCTAACCCTGACCTAACCTCCTTGGAATCACAGTTCGATTTTAACCTTTACGTTTAAATTCGAGATGGATTACACACACACACACACTTAAGTAATGAGGAAATTAATTATGAGTATGCTCTACGTCATGTAGCCAACTTAGATACCACTACACACTGAGGCAAGGTGCTTCTTCCAAAGGAATTCATATAAGAAGAGTTCTAAGCATGTTAAGAGTGCTCAGGCTAATATTGAAGTCTGTCAAACGCTTGTCGAACAACTTCACTTGCTTACGGAAGCAGCCGTTAATTCAAACGACATAAATGGTATGAGTCAATTTCGTTCGCGACATTCCCACTACCAAAATCGGTTGCGACTTATCGATGTCCCTGTTGAACTGCAAGATACACACACGATGGTTACGATGCACATGAAAGTGTTGTTCAACAAAGTGTGTTACGATATTCGGTGAACGGTGGTTGCACGAGAACACAACCAGAACGATGCGGCGGATTGTTGAAAGTAAAAAAGCTACTGGCGGAAGCAACATTTTAGCGAATTCAGTGGAGCACGCACAAGAGCAGGAGGAAACACCACCGTCAGCGAATTCAGTGGAGCACGCACAAGAGCAGGAGGAAACACCACCGTCAGAGTCATCGATGCCACGCAGCTTTCATTTTCTGGAGGTTGGAGTCAAACTCGCAGGAAGACCGTCACAGTAGTGACCGACGATTATAACCAGAACATCGGCATGGTACCACCACCGTACGACGTCCACGAGTACGTGTATTGTGAGGCACGAAGCATGGAGGTGCGAGTCAGAGAAGGAGACGCAAGAGAAGCTAGAGCAAGGGGAGCCGAAGTACCTACGGGAAACACGAGTCAGAGAAGCAGGCGTACTGGAAGCCCTAGCTAAGGAATCGTGGTACATGGACGCGCAAGCCAGCGACGCACAAGGCAGCGACGCGCGGGCCAGAGAAGAAGGAGATTGGCGTTGACGGCGACTCTGTAGCTCTTTACTCCTATGAGAAAATCCATAAGCAAACGTCAGACTGTGCGTGAAACATGGCGGACTTTGTACAATCCTTTCACTCCACTGAAAATTCCCATAAGAAAGTGTCTAAATTTGCTGGAAGAGCAAATTTTTCGACGGTGCCGTCAACGCCAATAGGAACGCATAAGCTAGAGATGCTAGAACCCGAGAAGCGCAAGCCAGTACCACAGGATTCGGGATGATCTACTGGATCATCTGCTTTGCCTAGAGAGGCCTGCTGAAAGCGGTGCATAATTAGCCATTCAAGTTTCGAGAAGAGAAGGACACCACTGCATTCAACGTGTTTTTGGATCACTTCGAGACATTTGCCAGATCGAAGGGAATGAGCGATGAGACACTGCTGATTCATATCAAGTATTTTTTGCAGGAAGACGCACTCGACTGGTATGCCCACACAATGTCACAACAGTTGTTACCATCATGGGATGCTTTCAAGTGGGAGATCCGCAGAGAGTTTTTGCCAAGTGGATACTCCCAAATTATTCGCCTGGAAGCCAGTTTTCGTTTTCTATGAGCTATTTTGAGAACCAAAAATGATTGATCTCATTAAAAATTGTGGCCAATTGCTTTGTAAAAAAAACATGATCGATTTATTTGAGAATTCTGTTCGATACTTTCAAAGCCTCGACCATTTCGATCAAATTGGTAAAAAAAATGTTATCGTAAATATTTCTCTAAAAGCACGTCAATTTCTATTTAAAATTATACCATTTCATTGTTAGATTTGCAAATTCCACCTAAACGTCATACCATTTATGTTACAAAATTTAATCTGAAAGTTGAGACCGATTTCATTGAAAATAGTGACAAATGTTATCAATGTTGAATGTAATTTCACCGTTAGAGGTGGTGAGTTAAATATTAAGATCAGATGAGTTCAAAAAACATTTCAATATTGTTTTGAGTAGTGACGGTTTTTGATTGATGTCTTATGTCTAATATAATTTAAAGTCACATTTTTTTCCAAATAAAATGGCATTTTGAAGAAAGTTTTGATAAGCCAAGTCGTGTTTAAAGCCATTGAAGTGTTTCAGAGACTATTGGCAATATCAGTCAAACAAGCGATTTATAAAGCATTACCCGAGCAAAGTCGGATATCAAAATAATATCAAAATGATATCAAATTATGTGTTGAAATCAAATAGATCACATTTTTTTTAATACTGTTTTTTCCTTGATTTTGATTTCCGTCGATCTTGTTTTCCGTGCTGAGCACCAATGCTACCAACTCCAGGGAGGCAGCTCTCACACCTGGACCCATCAACTCATGAACCGGGGACCAACGGCTTTACTTCCCTTCCTAGGGAAGGCCTGATCAGAGATGTTATGCCTCAGAATATCCCGGCGGTGCCGACTGGGATTGAACCCAGGTCTGTTGGGGTGAGAGGTTATCACGCTTAACACTACACCACCAGCGCCGGTGTCAAATTATCTCGAACAAACATGCAAATAAATTGTGGATAAACTGTGATTACCATTGACAATATATTCCATAGAAAACTCGCTTGTTTTTGACCCGGCTTAATTCATTTCCCACGCCAAAAATCGATTTTGATAAACGAGAATTGTTTTGACTTGACAAAACTAAATGCCTTCAAAAGCATTTTTACCATCTAATAAACCAACTAGCCCTTTTGACTGCTAATTACCGTATACAAGCAAACGTTTGTCTATGTAAGCTAGTCTGCAGCTAAAATTGTTTGTTGGGTATAACTCTTTCCACGATCCCTGAGAGACCTCGGTGACGTCATAAGTGAGCTCTCAGAACTATCCCAAATATCTCAACTAATGGAATTGCTTCGAAAACAAAATCTCACACTCAGAACATCCCGTTCTAGCCAACGAATTTCTTTCAACCCTGTTGACTGTTTCATCCAGTGAAGACAATTCAACAAAATTGCGATTTATTTTACTCTATTCCACCCCAAAAACCATCATCAAACACACACGGACGCCAACATCTTCTGCTCCGAATTAGATATCAATATCATCAGGGTGGTGGCAAAGCTTTGACCCCAACCCGCCCAACCTGCAACGGCCCATCGTACCGCCAATGCTTTCCGAATCGAAGGCGAAGAAGGTACACGGTCGATCAGCACAACTCAAAATTGAGTAAAGTCGACTCAATTTCGTCACGAAAGTGGATTTACTTGAGTTGAATTTTCGGGGCTTTTCCAGGAAAAACCTCTCGAATATGAGGTAAATTGAAAGAGGTTTCACTCAGTCTATTAGTATACTTCTAAATATAGTAAAATTTTCATGAAATTCGCTCATATTCGAGAAGTTTTTCCTAATTTTCCACGGTTTTGGCCGGAAAATACAACTCACTTTTGTGTTAAATCCACTATTGTCGCAATTTAGTTGACTCGACCCGGTCTAATCGATCGTGCAGTGCAGAAAAATACGATCAGAACCCTCACCATCGCGTCGTCGCCGTCGTCGTCGTCATCGTCGTCGTCGCCGCCGTAATTCGGGTATGATCTCGCTGTGGTGTCACCCCGAAAAAGTCCACCCAAAAAAAAGTCTCACATATAAAAGATGATGTTCTCCAAAATCACAGATCAGTATCAACCCGAGTGGCAAACGCCTAGAACAAAGACAGTCTGCTTTTTATCCGAGGAAAGGAACCGACAAACTGTGATAAACTAAAAAGTTTTTTGTGAGCCAAGAAAAAAAAAACAGGAAGCAAAATGCTGAAATTGGTGAGCAACGTTTTTTAATTTGCGAGTGTTTTAAGGTTCTGCAAACTACGAGAGTGCTAATTGCCTTATAAAATGTGCTAAATACAAATGGTGTTATGTGTGACCGGTGGAAAGCAGGCCAACGCAAATTTTCGATTCCATGAAGGGATTATTTTTCTGCTTCTCCGATGAATGAAGATCGGCTGGGTCAAGGCTGACATGCTTCCGGGGAGCTGGAAGCTGCATTTCATTGACTGGTGATAAATGGTGACGCCATATTCTGGATGGACAATCTCTACGTACAGTGAAAGTGTATTATTTTAATGATCTACGTTAGGCAGTATGAATCTTCACTTGGGTCACTTAATATTGGACTAAAAGTGCGCTGTTATGCAACCAGTTCAAATAATGCTTGAACGATAAAGTATAGAGTACCCATGCAACCAGAATGCACGAACATTCAAATTTAATTCTGTGATATATTACAGACATATATGGGTCATTCCAGCTCAAGTGGGTACAAAATAAAAAAAAAAAAGTAGTAGTCAATGTCACTGATTTGAGCCAAACTTGGCCAAAACGCTTATTTTCTGCCAAAACGCTGAATTTAAAAAACAAATAATTACACAAATAAGGGTATTGTTCAAGTAGCAGCTATCATCCACAACTGGAATTTTATGAACCTGCTAATCTATCTGATTTCATCATACTTCTAAAGCACAACGTTTTGGTTGTATCCCATAGGAAAGTTTTTTTTCACTTTTAGGACCACAATTAAATTATGGACAGAAGTAAGTAAATGAGCTAGTTATGATTTCATATAATGAGAATCCTGCCCAGAACATGTGAAAAATAACATAAAATATGATTGTGCCATGAGCGTGAAGGAATTAATAAATATAATTGATTTTCCACCAGAAAAGCTCACTCATTTGGTATCTCAAAAAGTATTTGTCCAAATGATTTGCCCTTGGAAGCACATCTAGTAGAAGAGTTTTCCAAAGTGTGGTGAAAATTTGAGCCCAAAGTATTAAGGTATGAAAAAATCCCGGGCATGGTGAAAAAAGGCCATTTTTTTGACAATTTGGATACCTACCTGAAATCAGCCTGTTTACTGTAGTTACTACACCAAAATCCAAATGTGGGTACATCTAATAGAATTTTAATTAAAAAACCTTCAAATTGACGTTCTAAGATCACAAATAGCTTATTTGGTTGAGGAGTAATTTCTTCTGAAAGTTGAAATTTTTAAAAACCTCGAAAATCCAGGGTTGTAGCCAAGAGGGATCTAGGCACTTCAGAGCAAAATCAAAAAAGGTGTTTGTCTAAAATGACAAAATAAGCGTTTTGGCCAAATTTGGATCAAATAGGTGACATCAACCACAGGTGGTGTACCCACTTGAGCTGGAATGACGCATATAGGATTTTTGATCTAATTTCCGTCCTACTAAGCACAATCCGTGCTTTACCTCTCTTCTCTGAACGAGTTTAAACAAAAAATAGGATATTTTTGTCAAAGATTTGTTGAGATATTGTTCAAAATCTAATACTGATTCTTGATTCTAAATTCGTTCTACGAGTTTCAATGCCGTCCTAACGCATTGAAACACACTAAGATTTTGTTTCCGTGTTCGGTAAATTTTACCGAAATCAGAACAGCCGAACGTTCGGTAAAACTTTGACCTTCATTTTAAAGGCAATTGAATTTGAAAATAATTTCAAAGCATGTTCAACCTTGTTTAAATGATCAAATCTTGTCATTTTAGTGGAGATTTAGTTTCAAAGTAGCTGAAAATCAATTGAATTGAATTGCATAAATTTTACCGAACAGTTCAGTTGTTCATATTTCGGTAAAAATTACCGAAGTCGGTGATAATTTCTAAGTGTGAACGCAATTAGATTTTCTTCGTCCTATGGATAAACGTAGGAAAAGGGGATTTGCTAGAAGCGCTTCTTTTGTTTTGAGAACAATGAGCGCAAATATTCATACAATGCGCTCTAACAGGGTTTATGTTGTAGCTAATGAACTAACGCATCGGAACAAACCTATCATTGATTTAGACACGGTGAAATCATTGATATTATTGATATTTTCTGATTGATAGAACAGAAATGGGCGATAACGACGAAGTAGCGCTCTACCCTACAAACAAACAAATCGTATAGAATGCAAAAAAAATGCTTATTCGTACAAAAGTGGAGGCAATTTTAAGTAATTTGATTGATTTGACATCATATTCGATTTATTCTGCAATAACAAATTGATTTTGAAAAGTCTTACAATGAATCCGATTTAATTTGTGAAACAATACGATGGAAAATGTATGAATAGCATATAAGTCGGAAGTTTGCATTATATACGATTTATCCTAAAAATAATGCGATGTATGTCATATTTATATGCGATGTTGAATTAAACTCAAGCAATTTAAAGTTTGGTCTGAACATTTTTAAACGATCCTGGATCCCTGGGTAATTTGATACAATTAATGTCTTACATCAATTATTCTAGAAATGTAAACTAAGACTTCCGGTTAACTTTTTTTAGCTTGATTCAGTGAAATATTTTACTCAAAAAATGCCTTAATTGCAGCGTTTTTAATATGTCCGGATTTTTTCGTGTTCAACTTTTATACACAGTGTTTCTCAAAATTTAGCGTACAAATGTCCATACATTTTAGAAAAACAGCTTTAAATACACAATTTAAAAAGATAATTTTCTGAATTCTGGCTGCTGAAACATCATACATTTATCAATTATCGGTACAGTGTTGAGCTTATTTGGTTGCGTTTATTAACAGTAAGAGCTTTTTGAGAAAAACACCTTTTCCTTGAAAAACCTTAATATCTTGAAGCATAATAAACTAATCATTTTGAAATTTTGCTCATTTTTAGTCACAATAATGATCATTCATATTCCACTAATTTTTCTAAAATTCGTCCAATAAGTAAAAAGTTGAAAATCGTGCGTTTTACTAAAATAAATCTAACTTCATACAGGTTATTCCAGTCCAAAACTTAAACGTTAAATCAATAAACATCTGTTTCACCACATCCCAAGATTAAAAAAAAAATTATGCAGAATGTTTCAAAAAATATTCAACTATTTTGCGATATACTGTATGTGAAAATATGGTCATATAATACAGAAGATGGAATAGTTTAGCATTCTTCATAAAATCTATGGACGAGCAAAACAAAAATATTGTAATTCAAAAAGGGGAAATGGATGTAATGTCGGCCTAAATGCCCTTAATTTGGGCCCATACATATATTCAGCAATCGACTAAATTTTCAATAGTGACCATAAATACCCATCAGTACTGTCCCAATGACGCGTTAATCTAGAAAAAATTGATAAATAACAGATTTTTACCTATGGGCCCAATCTTAAATCCATAGGCTAACATTAGAGCCATTTCCCCATGTGTTCTACTTTAACGAAATGAACTAGCCTACGGCTAAACATCTAAAAAAAATGAAAAAAAGATTTGTGTTCACGCAAAGCCATTTGAAAAGTTTAATGAACATAACCTAAAAATCTGCATCACCACAGTCGCTCCTAATCTATCTATCTATCTATATATATCTATATATATAAAAATAAATTTCTGTCTGTCTGTCTGTCTGACCCTTATAGACTCGGAAACTACTGAACCGATTGGCGTGAAAATTTGTATACAGGGGTTTTTGGGGCCGTGGAAGGTTCTTATGATGGTTCGAGACCCCTCCCCCTTCTGTAAGTGGGGGCTCCCATACAAATGAAACAGAAATTTCTGCATAACTTGAGAACTAATCAAGCAAATGGAACCAAATTAGGCATGTGGGAGCGAGTGTGGGGGTATAAGGAGATAATCATAGGAGGTAGCCCCTTAGATAATAGGGGGGGGGGGGGCTACGTACAATATAGCATGCTTTTTTTTTAAATCGGCGCATAAACTCAAGCTAATATTGAATCCCGAGCAAGACCGGGCACACTCAGCTAGTGTTATATAAAATAGGTGACAACAAATAAGAGTAATTCCATGTTACCAAACTAGCATTTCATGATATGGGCTTATGATGACTGCCGTCACATTTTTACAATTTTTTACAATTGAACTTGACAATCTAAAGCATTTGTGGCCTTAATACCATTGCCGATTATTTGAATCCACATGTTTTTTTTTGTGGTTCAAGTCGAAAAATTTCCAATCAAAAAAATTCCTGGACCGGGAATCTAACCCAGCCATCTCCAGGATGGCCATGCTTTGTAGCTGCGCCCTAACCGACCGAGCTACCTAACCCAAGTAACAATTTTGGTTTTATTAGGGTTCTGTAGACCATGAATTGAACTTCTAGAACGCTTTAAAATCTTGATAAAACTTGCAATGTTCTTTGACTATATGTTTTTTTTTTGCAATGTTACTTGGGAAGGGAGACCCAAAAAAAAATCGATCCTGCAAAGATTTGGTGTCGATTTAATCAATGGATAGATTCTAGTGCCGTAAATAAAATCGATCCGTCGAGATCGATCTTTCCCTGATCCTAGTTCAAAATGAAACGATTAGTAACGTTAATATTTGTAACATGAACTGTGGATGGGGTTCTGCTAGTTTATTACATTGGGAAGATGCATAGCACAGTATGACTACCCAAGTAACAATTTTGGTTTTATAACGGTTCTGGATACCATGATTTAGACTTGCAGCATGCTTTAAAACCTCGATAAAACTTGCAATGTTACTTGGGTATGATTGCCCTGAAAAGAACCTTTTGATATGCATTTAAGTTGGAGCTTGTTAACTCTTTTTGAAAATCTTAGTGACCCTGTAAAGGGCCGATAGTAGTACAGGCTTAAAGCCTTTGGAAAATTATGATGACGTGTAGGCAGCTGAATCAGCAAATCGAACCGGAAAATCCCATATTCTTCAGTTCAATGATTGGGTACTCGCAAGAGTCTCGGTGTCTGGTGTCTGCTACAGGTTGGAATGCCGCAGAAAATCAGTGTCTACCCAGCTTAAGCTCCTCCCTTTTTTAGTTTTTTCTCGTTAAACTCCTTCACTCAACAAGTTGGTAAATCTTAGCCTTTAACAGAAAGACGCTTAACACTTTTTTCGGCGAATTTATGATCCTGTTTCACGTCATGGTTCTTCTCTATGCCTGTTCAGATAAAGTACTTTTATTTATTTTCTCTACTGCGCTAGATCAAACGAGTAGAAATAAGAAAGGATGTTATTTATGCGAGTATAAAATAATTGAAAATTTGATAAATATTTAATCGAATAGCTGGAAATTTTATTACGATTCATCGTTAATCGAATAATTGGACTTCTAGGCATCCCTAGAAAATAGTGCAATTTTACGTTTTCTGGTGGTCATTCGAAAATGTCGAATAGCAGAATTGCAACCAGATAGTGTAACCAAAGAACCAAAAGCGGTGCGACGCTAGTTTCCTTTGCTATGACGACGACTGAATTAAGGGGCTTAGAAGCAAAGGGATGAAAGTCAATTCTTTTCATCGATTTCCTCTTTTGATGACCATGGCTTCACTAGCCTATTTCGCACTATTTCTGCAATGCTCTTCTATCATCCAGAACAACAAAAGTATCGATGAATGTGTTTGCCGTCGAGTTATTAACGAAACTGAAAGTCGATGAAAGTTAGAAGTTTACAACTCTGGAGAGCATTTTGTGTGGTCGTTGGGGGCGTGTGGTTCTGAACATGGCGATGAGTGTGCAAAATGTTACGCAATTACATCCTCCCTATTTGAACACGCCCGAAGATCGAAGGCGAATGTCACTACGACTTGTTTCGTCTACTAACGACTCTCTGATGGCAGTGTTGGGGATGCAGCATATGCATATCAATAATAATAACTAATGGTGGTTTCGACTGGTTGATTGGAATCACTTTATGGGGTGGCTTTCACAGTCTTTTAGTAGAAACGATTATTTTTTACGTTCCCGACGTTTCGACCGTTTGGTTGTGGTCTTTCTCAAGGGTTGTAATGTCTATCGTTTCCCGTTACAAACTTTTACGAATCGAGGACAGCGTAAATGTAGATTTTTCATGACCTGTTGTTAATTTTTAGGAAATTTTTAAAGTGATCTTTTGCACAGCACTGCAACGTTTGTTTTAAATAAGATGGTGGGACCATTAACAAAAAAGGGGGGGGGCATATTGAAGTGTATTTGACAGTATTTTCCAGTTTTTCTCTGAATAATTTAAATTAACCTCTTTAAAACTACGATAAAGTCAATAATTTTATTTGGGCATAGTCGAAAAAAAATTCTGGTTGGTTTTGATTTTTCTATATATATATATAATGCCATTCCATAGCAAAACGGTAAAGTGGTTATCAGAATGTCATAGCAGTTGGTAGTTTTGCTCCTTTCCGAAACATATTAGAATCGTTTTCTTTTATTGTACGATTTTAACAAGCTGTGGGACAAAAGATTGACAGACTTAAGTTCGAAACGACAAAGGGTCTACAAGACTGTCGATTTACTCAACTTGATTTACCCAGGCTTATTACCCTGTCCCTCCCAAGTAACATTGCAAGTTTGATCGATGTTTTAGAGCATTCTATAACTCTATACCCTCATGAAACGAACATTGAAACTTGGGCTAGCTGTCTGGTAACATATCAATTTCAGAGAATAGAATTTCCCAACCACATAGCATTAAAATTGATCAAGTACAATACACTCCATTCCCCTCCCTCCACAGATCGTCTCCTTCGCCGCGCTGATCGCCCTGGTTGCCGCCGCTCCCGCTGCCGACGATGCCAACGCCAACATCCTAACGCAGGAAAACATCCTCGAGCCGGACGGCAAATATGCCTGGAAGTACTCGACCAGCAACGGAATCCAAGCGGAGGAAAGCGGCCAGGGGGGCGTCGCCGTTCAAGGATCCGCCTCCTGGGTCGGGGACGACGGTGTTCCAATCGTGCTGACCTACACGGCCGACGAAAACGGATACCACCCGCAGGGAGTGCATCTGCCAACGCCACCACCGATTCCGGAATACATCCTGCGAGCCCTCCGGTACATTGAGGCTCGTAACGCGCAGAATGTGTAAAATTCTCATACCCGGCATCATCGACTCTCGAACAAGCATCTGAAGAGCAAAAGCGAAAGTGATTCAATTTACTATAGATACCAAGGTCGGCATACAAAGACACACACACACACACACACACACACACACGCACTCTGTCACAACAGTCATCACTAATGTATAGAAGCGATATTTTTTGGTTAAGCGGTAAAGTATGATAGGTCACATAACCATAAAACGATCAAAAAAAGCTAATAAAAAAGTTTCAAAATTGGAAACGTGATTCATTTGACTAAGTAATTTCCTAGATGACCCCTGCCCGTCTATATTTCTATGAAAGCACGTCATCCAAATATATCATAAACACATTGAAAAATGATACTGGCACACGTCACCCCGTGGTTGGGCGAGCGCATATGTAAATGAGTAGCTCCAATTAAATAAAAAAAACCAAATCTCATGGAAAAAATAACAAATCATCGAAGATCACGGCCCTGATCTGGGCCGGCAGGTTGCGGTCCTCACAAACAGAACACACAAAGCGAACTCATTCTGATCGCAGGCCAGATAGGCAAATAAATTGTCCGGAATGGTGGGAAAATTAGATCTGATGACCATAAGAAGTCAATAATCCTGCCAGTCCAATAATAAAATTATACAAATGGGAAATTTATACAATGCCCACAAAACCACTGAATACGATCGAAACGGAAAGCACCTGGGTGAAAAATTACATTATGCAGATCATATGTGGGAATGGTTGTATGGTGATGGCGAACGTTCGATATTGGTAGCTATTGAGTGATCAATCACAATCAGGAGTGGCATTTTGAAGTGCACGTTTGAATAATTCGATTGAAGATTTAGAGCACAAAGTTGATCTCATTTTTCGCAACAGTGGGAAATGGGAAGTGCATATATTTGTGCATGCCTGATAACATTTGAATTGCTTGCTAACCTTTGTCAATTAACTAAATGACCAAAATTTACAAATGAGATATATATATCCATATCATAAATCAACATTCGATAACCTTTTTAAGAAGCATGAATTAATCTATTGAAAGATTTGACTTGGTTATACCAACCGTTAAAAATTTAATTTGAATGAATTACTGCTAGTGTCATCTGGAGTAGTCCAGCAGACTGGGGTATTTTTAATTAATCTAAGCCTTTGTTGGGACCCTGCCCAAGCAACGCAATTGGTCATAAACGATTGTTTATTTGATTTATAAAGGGTGATACGGTCAAAATTTGGTCAAGGGAAAACGCGTGTAAATCGGTGAAATCGTTTATTTAAAAAATCAAATTAAATTTCTTTTTCAAGTTCAATTAGTATAAAATTCAGGAAAAATATTCAGTTAGGCTTCTGCTTTTCCAAATCCGAATTGCCGGGCCTTACGCTTGACCCCTGCCATCAGATTTTGTACAGCCACCTTGTCCACCTTCTTCGCCGCAGAAAGCCAGTTTGCCTTGAACTGCTGCTCGCCCTTAGCAGTTTTTTTGGTCTTCTTTAGGTTCCGCTTGACAATAGCCCAGTATTTCTCAATTGGGCGGAGCTCTGGCGTGTTGGGAGGGTTCTTGTCCTTGGGAACCACCTGCACGTTGTTGGCGGCGTACCACTCCATGGCCTTTTTACCGTAATGGCAAGATGCCAAATCCGGCCAAAACAGTACGGAACAACCGTGTTTCTTCAGGAAAGGCAGCAGACGTTTATTCAAACACTCTTTCACGTGAATTTCTTGGTTGACAGTCCCGGAAGCTATGAAAATGCTGCTTTTCAAGCCACAGGTACAGATGGCTTGCCAAACCAGATATTTCTTTGCGAACTTTGACAGTTTCATGGGCTTGATAACATCTGCTACCTTTCCCCTTCCTTTTGCCGTATAAAACTCCTGTCCCGGAAGCTGCTTGTAGTCGGCTTTGACGTAGGTTTCGTCGTCCATTACCACGCAGTCAAACTTCGTCAGCATCGTCGTGTACAGCCTCCGGGATCGCGCTTTGGCCGTCGTATTTTGTTTATCATCGCGATTTGGAGTCACTACCTTCTTGTAAGTCGATAGTCCGGCTCGTTTTTTGGCTCGATGCACGGTTGTAGACGATACACCCAGCTTATTTGCGGCATCTCGGAGAGAGAGGTTAGGGTTTCGCTTGAAACTACCGGCAACTCTCTTTGTCGTCTCAGCGGCTTCCGGTTTTCGATTTCCCCCCGATCCAGACTTCCTGGCTGTCGACAAACGTTCCCCAAACATTTTAATAACATTTGTAACGGTTGATTTGGCAACTTTTAGCGATTTTGCCAACTTTGCGTGCGAGTAGCTCGGATGCGCGAGCAAAATTTTGATACGCTGCTCTTCTTGCTTGAACGGCATTTTGACAACTGAAGAGAGAATTCCAAAATCAAAATAGGAGCAACATTCTACACACACACACCTTCAAATGAGGGGTGTTCAGGTTTTTTAAATGTTAAATTGAAAGAAATACGTCAAGTTGATATTGACCACATTTTGACCGTATCACCCTTTATAGGGGAAATGGCTCTAATGTTGGCCCATCGCTTAAAATATGCAGTTTATCAATATAATATAGATGAACGCGTCATTGGGACGGTACTAATAGATATGTTCGGTCACTATTGAAAATTTAGTCGATTGCTGAATTTACGCATGGACCCAAATTAGGGGCATTTAGGCCGACATTACATCCCCTATATAGTTTATATTTAAAGTTTCCTAAATACAACCCATTTATAACACAAACAGCGCAAGAGGTGAAGTGAATATAACCTACCAAGGGTCTATTCTATGAGGAAATCACAATCCAAACGTATTTTAATTCCATATGGGTCATTCCAGCTCAAATGGGTACACCGCCCGTGGACGATGTCACCTATTTGAGCCAAATTTGGCCAAAACGCTTATTTTGGCATTCTGTACAAACGCCTTTTTATTTTGTTCTGAAGTGCCTAGATCCCTCTCGGCTACAACCCTGGATTTCGAGATTTTTAAAAATTTCATCCTTCAGAAGAGATTACTCCTCAACCAAATAAGCTATTCGTGATCTTAGAATGTCAATTTGAAGGTTTATTTAATGCAGATGTACTCACATTTTGTTTTTGTTATAGTAACTACAGGGTGCGTGACGAATTTTTGCAGTAAATGGCATATTTGAGAAAAAATACACCAGTTAGTTATTCTAGCAATGAATTTTGTGCGATTTATTTTCTTTCGCAACATATGGAAGTTGTATGTAAATTTATTCAAAAAAAATTGCCTTCCCTTTCGACGACTGTAGTTAGACACTTCCGGAAACTGCAGTATGCACGTTTTAAAATGTTTCGATCCATAGATGTCATCACTGCCTGTATTTTAGCTTCTAGCGACTTAAGTGTGGTGTGAGGGGTTCTATTGGTATCCCGTTGGAAGACGCCCTATACAAAATAATCAAACGGATTGATATCGGGACTGCTTGGGGGACAAATTTCTTCCTCCCAAATTTACGAAATATTTTCCGTAAGCCATTTCTGTGCTTTATTAGCAGTATGAGCAGGTGCTCCGTCTTATCACTGTTCCAAGCCTTTTTTAATATTATACACTGTTCTTTCAGACACTTTTACGGACCGAATTATTTCTTTCATGCATACTCCGGCGCGCAACAAAGCGACAACGGCTGACAGATTGCTCTCTTGTTTCGACATCTTTACGTTTACTCAACATTGTTTGTTTAAATCTTACACCTAACAGTATAAGCTATCCAGTGCTGCCAAATATATCTAAATCATGATGCGCAAGCATGAGAAATTACTATTTGAAATTTACTGCAAAAATTCGTCACGCACCCTATACAGTAAAAAGACAGATTACCGGCAGGTATCCAAATTGTCAAAAATGGCCTATTTTCACTATGGGTGGGATTTTAATTTCTCAATATTTTGGGCTCAAATTTTCACCACACTTTGGAAAACTCTTAAACTAAATGTGTTTCTAAGGGCAAATGATTTGGACAAATAGTTTGTGAGATATGACCAGATGAGTAAGTGGTAGTTTTGAGATTTTCTGGTGGAAAATCAATGGTGTATAATATTTATTTTTAGTTTTCTTGAGTTCCGTTACACCGATTCTGGGCAGGATTCTCATTTAATGAAATCATAACTAGCTCATTTATTTACTTCTGTCCATAATTTAATTGTGGTCCTAACAGTGAAAAATACGTTCCTATGGGATACAGCTAAAACGTTGTGATTTAGAAGTACGATGCAATCAGATAGATTACCAGGTACATATTTAACATTTCAGTTGTAGATTGTCATGCCCTGCTTGAATAATACCCTTATTTTAGAATTTATTTTTTTTTTAGATGCGATCACACGAGTAAGAATGCTTTTTGCTGTGTTATACCTATGATCTTGACATTTTTACCAATGGGATGAGTACTTAAGGGGGTTAGGTTTTTGATAAGTCTTTAGTGTAAATGACACTGATGAAGACTGCACATTGTAGTCGAAATACGTATCTGACATGGATACTGTTAGGCCCACTGTGCAGCAAGTCAGCGATGAGTCTACCTCACTGGTAACTGCCGAGCCGCTGACTGTATGAAAGATACGAAGACTGACAGGTATGAGATGATGTCACCAGAAAAGTGAAGAATAAAATCACAATTCTAGGCTGGAACGTGCTTAGAAGTGATCTTCGTAAAATTAGAATTAAATTTACTTAAATTATTTGTGATTATTCACAAAACTTACTTGCTAACTAAATTTGAATACCTAAAAGTAAGTTTCTTATTACCTAAATGAATTAAAATACCTACCCTACCTAATAAACCCGTGCGAGCCCCATCAGGTCAGGAGCACGTTGTACACGGGAGAAAAGAATACTAAAATTCTGTAAGTAGCTCCAAATTATCCTAATATCCGATTCTAAAATGTGTATTTAACTTATAGTTGAGCTGATAAACAACGAGCTGCTTCAAGAATTATATTTCTCTCGCACAATCCGAATCCTCCCCAACAGATACCA